AGCAAACGGTCGCGCGCCGCCCCCACGCGCTGGTCACCCCTTACAGGCTTAGCTCAGGGGTCGGCAACCGAAGCATTTCATATCCGTTTTACCATCTTGTCTGTGAATAAGTCTCAGTGTGTGCCAATGTGTAACCTAGTATGGGTTAAAAACATAATATAAACGAAAACGCAGACTTACTTTGCTCTGCTTTAAGCTTTAGGTCAAAAGCTGTAGCCGCTTTTCTCGCATATCAGCCAGGAAACTTTAAAATGTAAAATGTCACTGAACTTTTGACTTTTTCCGAGGCTGAAGTCAGATTCTCATTTACCAGCTTCTTGTTCGAATTGTCCCGTTTCACCTTAAATGGTACATGAGGCGCCAGAATGTACGTTACTGCTGCGCAATTTAAGGTGGAACGGGAGAATTCGAACGAGAAGCTGACTTCAGTCCTTTTTGTCTCCAAATTATTGATGTTCGTCTTAAATCTGGGGACAGAATATTATGCCTCATTTTTATATGAAATTTGATTAGTTCTCTGTGAGCGCTGTCACTGAATTATGGCCAATCAAAATCTGCCAAGATCCGCGTTATTTTCTCAACCCTCCTATCACTGCTTATTAATTCTTGCTGTCCGCAATTACTTTAGTAATCAGCGCCTGTGACATTCGTAACTAGCGTTAGGACTCCGAGCTCCTCAGAAGTATCTTAGGGTTTTATAAGATTCAAAAAGCGATGAAACTACACAGCGAGCAGTGAGAGGTTCTCAGCTGACCTCGGTACAGCTGTGGCTCAGCCATAGACAGAACTGCCTGCTCTGTTTGTCTCTGTACGAGACACTACACAGCCCAGAGAAGCAGAGTAACTTCTTGAGGTGTTCAGGTATGCAGCACACATGCTATAAGCTAACACATAACATCGCTATGGCAAAAATGTAGTTAGCTGAGAGTTTATGAGCACAATTAACACATTAAGATTGTAAAATGAACACCCTATATTTCATTTTTTGCTTGGACTGCTCGGAATGTTGCTAGCCAAATCAGCATGCTTTAGTCTAGCTCCAGTAGCTGCTCTGTTTAGGCTACAGGCTCCATAGTAGGCTATATTAGAGATTAGATGTGAAATTAAAGTTATATTGAGTTACCTACTCATAACATACTACAAGCAACATGAGAAAGTTCACTGTTAACCAGCATATTGAAGGTATGGTATCATGTAGCAAACATTAAGAAATCAGCAGGTACATTAGACCATATTTTGTCTCATTAACTATATGAGTAGCCACCTTTCCCTCTAGCTGGGCTTTGGTACAGACAGCCTTTTTATAACATATGTTTAATGTGTGCTTTTACAATAATCAGTGAGTACAGAGATGCAACGGAAACAAGCAAAGATAGAGAGAGAGGTAAATGAAACAAAATCAATTTGAAACTATCGCCTGATTTAATGCAGGTTTAATGTATTATTTTAGCTGAAAATAAACATAAATAAATAGTTAAATGATTAATTAAACTTAAACAGGACAATTGAAGTCAAATAAGTTTATGGAACATTAATAGCAGTTTATGGAAGAATGGAGGAATGAAGATGGAAGAAATGAAAGAAAAAGGTGCATGACAGTTATAGATGGGTAAAAAAGGAGAAGTGATTGAATAAAAAAACAAAAGGAGAAACTTATTGTTGCTTTAATACTCATATTTGGTAGTTATTGTAATCACAAAAAGATGCGAGTAACATTTCTGCAAAATGGACCTCACAAAAATTCTGATGCCCTGTTAGCAGTTATATGCTAACTCCAGCATTTTAAGACCACTTATTGTTAAAACTCTGTTAGAATGATCAGCAGAGCTGATTGTTATTTTACCTAAAAATCTAGTTCTGCTGTGGAGCCGTAACAGGGCAGTAAAAGAGCCGTGTGTTGCTGACCCTTGCCTTAGCTAAAGTGGAAAAAATATTTTCGTAATAGACTATTACTAATAGTACTCTGCAGAGCCAGGGTCACTGATAAAAATTTTGAGGCTGAAGTGTTGCTGAAGTTTAACAAAGGACTCTGACTATGAATGTCATGTCTGTACATATCTTGCTGAAATGTTTAAATTGGAGCAGTTTTATTTCAACAATTGACAGCGCTTTGCTCAAATTTGTTTGGTTTGTATAGTTATTTTTGTTGATTTTTGTTAGGAAAAACCTGGAATGGTTGACTTTGCCTTTACTTAGTCTACATTTTTGCTGGATATCACGCCTTTGGTTGTGTAAGTTTGATTGTTGGTTACACTTAAACTTACTTTTTGGTGATCTTTTTGTATATTTGCAGCTTTTCAATTGTATGTGTCTTTCTGGCACATAATTAAATGCAGTGTCTTGTTCACATTGTCAGTTAGGCTTGTTTGGTGTGTCAGGTGGAAATTCACAAACATTCTGACAATTGCGCTTTGAAAGTAGCTAAAAAGTAGTGCACTACTTTTCAAAAAGTAGCTAAAAAGTAGCCACTACTTTTTCTGGAAATGTAGCTAAATTGTAGTTAGCTACAAATTTTGGGAAAGTAGCTACAAAGTAGCTAACTACTAATTTTTCAGTAGCTATTCCAACCCTGGCTGTGTGTCTGTGCGTTAGTCTTCAATGTAAAACGTTGGTGAATTAGCAGTTATGCGTTAACTCCAGCGTTTAATACCATTTATTGTGAAAACTGTGCTAGAACTGTGTGTTACAACGATTTTACAGCAAAGGAGGATTATGTTATTTTACCTAAAAATCTAGTTCTGCTGTGGAGCCGCAACAGCTCTGTAGCAGTGGAGAGATTATTCAGGTCTGATTCTCACCCCAAACAGAGCCAGAGTCACTGATGAGAATTTTGAGGCTAAAGTGTTGCTGAAGTTTAATAAAGGACACTGAATGTCATGTCTGTATATCTTGCTGAAATGTTTAAATTGGAGCAGTTTTATTTCAACAGTTGACAATGTTTTGCACGAATTTGTTTGGTTTGTATCTGGTTATTTTTGTTGATTTTTGTTAGGAAAAACCTGGAATGGTTGACTTTGCCTTTACTTAGTCTACATTTTTGCTGGATATCACACCTTTGGTTGTGTAAGTTTGATTGTTGGTTACACTTAAACTTACTTTTTGGTGATCTTTTTGTATATTTGCAGCTTTTCAGTTGTATGTTTCTTTCTGGCACATGACTAAATGCAGTGTCTTGTTCACACTTTCAGTTGGGCTTAAACAAGCCAGGTGGAGATTCACAAACATTCTGACAATCGTGCTTTGAAAGTAACTAAAAAGTAGTGCACTACTTTTCAAAAAGTAGCTAAAAAGTAGCCACTACTTTTTCTGGAAATGTAGCTAAATTGTAGTTAGCTACAAATTTTGGGAAAGTAGCTACAAAGTAGCTAACTACAAATTTTTCAGTAGCTATTCCAACCCTGACCTAATATAAAGTAACCATGGAAATTGGTTTACTACAGGTGTAGCCATGTCACAGACATATGAATATATCTATTAGTCTACTTCATACAGATTCTTAACACGTTATAATCTCTCCTATGGATTATTTCAGCTGGCTATCAAGAGAAGATCTTTCCTATGTAGTGACTTTTCCTGTAAACACTACCAATGTTTACTAACTGGATTTTGCATGCCAGCCACCTGTTCCAGTACCAGTTTTAATAACCCCCTCGCCAACTTAGCCTTGTCATATCCCCTCGGGGTAACCCTGATGACATCTTAAGGGTCATTCTGTGACTTTTATTAGCTCAAATGAAGAGTGTTAGTTGAGCTATCTGAGCCAAGGGACTGAGTGAACACAAGTGTTGGCTTCAGCAGCAGAAAATCATTGAGATCTGATGCATTTCCCCTTTTAAACCCCCAGGAATAAGAGACAAAGCTATTTGTAAGCCACACTGTTTCCATTTAAGCCATACCAGAGGTCACAGTGTTTCGATTTCCTATGTAGAATGGGCTTTAGGTAGCATATCCCATCTGTTGTACATGACTTTTGATACAGCTGTATTATTCTGCTAGCCTGCTAGCTAACAAGCAAAAGCCTACACAGCTAGCAACGGGTCATTCTGCAGAAATGTCCATTTTGTGTCTTTAGCGTTTACAGATGTATTACACTTGAAAAACATGTTAGGGTTACAATTTATTTTTATTTTAAAATAAAACAATGAGTTATTTTAACAATTACACCTTCTTGAGCCATCAATTTAGCAATACTGGTTTTGAAATCAATTACCACAGTCATGTGTAAAGGGTGAGTGCCATATTCTGAAGTAAAAAACACATTTTTCTGCAATTTTAACTGCAATAAGCTATACATGACTATGAAATATATGAATTAAATTACACAAAGAAAACAAATGCCAAATAAATATTATAAAATATATAATGAAAGTTGTTGCCCCAAGGAGTCAAGTTACCGTGTAACAAAAAATCTTATTTTGAAAGAAAAATCACACTGATGACACCACTTGACTTCCTTTTACCTATTTTCTGAGGATCTATGAAAAAATGTTAAGTCCACAGTGTCTTTTCAGTTATCAGAAATTTTCTCATTTAGCTCATGATTTCATAGTTGACGTCACTGGTATGACCTACTTTATTCTTAGGTAACTGTAAAAAAATAGAATACAAATGGATTAAATTACATATTTTAGTGGATATTGCATGATTTGACAATATGTGGTTTGATGCTCTGTAGCAGCCATTTTGTAAAATGCATTTTTTATTAAAAATGTCAATGGTGTTACTGTCACTGATGTTACCTTTCTTATGTGCAACACCAATGAGCATTGATAACAACAGAATGTATGTATGTTCAAAAATCTCAAAAAACATTTTGCATCATGAAGTTTACATGGCTGGCTGTATAACTTACTGAGGCTAACCTAGTTGAGGGCAAGGTGTAAGTGCCAGTGGTGAGTTGAAGATGGCAAAGGCATGTAAATGGAGCCCCATGTGTCTTGAAATGGAGCCCCAGTGGAAACTATGTCTATGGCTTTTGGGAGAAGACATAAAAAACTCACCCCTTTGTCTACAATACGTAGAGTTGTGAAGAATGAATATATGAAGTTGCCTTTAAGAATTTCTGGTGTCTTCACAGCCAGTTCTCTCAGGGCTAATGCCTGTGGACTCCAGGACCCTTCCTCTTGCCATGGTGACAGTGGGCTTCGTAGGAGCTCCAGGAGAGCATCCTCCTCCTCTGAAGTTACATCATCCAAGTCTTCACATTCTCTCAAACTTGGTTTATGCTGTTGAAATAAATGGGCAAGATCAAACATTTGGCCTTACTGGTAATGTTTAGCAAGATCAGTAGCCCTGGCTGTATTGATTGAAAGAATATCTATCTATGTGTGTTTCTTAACGTGCAATAGAGATGCAAAGCTAAGCTAAGGGATTATTAAATTACACTCACCCAACTGCCTCTGCCACAAGGATAATTTTCCAAACACAGGCTGTGAATGAGCTTGCTGATAACTGATGTGAGCATTTGGCAGGTCACTAAGATCAATGAAGAAGAAATGTCACATAAAGCCACTGAAGGAGTAATCTTACTTTCAAAGGCTTCTGTTACTTGTAAAACACATACTGAGCCTAACTGTCAAATAGACTTCTTCCCAGTCAACCAGACCTTCTCTCTGTTGTGTTTAGTGTGGTTGCCTGGCAACACAAAGAATGCTCTCATTGGTGCTCTGTGCTGGAATGTGGGGCCGGATTAGAGTTTTTAAGCCTAGGCTAATATTAAGAATAATATAAGGGTTTTTCTTGTATAACTATCCAAAATAATAAAATATGCCACAAATATGGAATAGTGTAAAAGGAATCTGTGTCAGATGACAGACAGAGACTGTTATATTTATTTGTGTGTGTGTGTGTGTGTGTGTGCATCCTGTGCAATAGTTATTCCATATTTTCATATCTTCTGTTTTTTTATGTTTATGATTATGGTTTTATATTTTATATAATATTAATATGTTAAGCTAAGCAAATACATAAAGTGTGCACTAAGGCACATTTATGGCAGAAAAATGGCATATTTAATTGTGTACCCTGTATTTACTAGGTTTATGTTTAATAATAAAAATGGATTTATGTTGTTTAGTTTGTATTCAGTTCACTTAAGGTGGTGATTCTGAATTTGTTTTAGAGAAGAAGAGACAGAGAATAACCTCACCATCATTTACTTCCAAAACATATAATGCAAAGCTAGACTAAGAGTATGATGTATGAATAGTTAAGTTAACATTATATTTTACTATGTATATCACTGCTGTCAGAACAAAACCTCATATTTTTTTGTTTTTCAGTTTTTGACATAATAAAAAAAAATTAAAAAATGGCTGTTGCTGTTTACATTGTGTGCAAGTTTCATGATGAAAGAACCAAAAGAAACAGCCCAAAATTACTTGGAAAAAAGTCTGGTTCCATTTATATATACATGTATATATATATATATATATATATATATATATATATATATATATATATATATGTATATATATATGTGTGTATATATATATATATATATATATATATATATATATATATATGAATTAAGGATAATGAATGTACAATAAACTACAAATTATTGTTTCCCCTTTCTTCTTTTTATTTTTATACTCTGAATAAATCTTAATCTGATCTTGATGTCTTTAACATATTGGAAAAAAATATACAGAAAATATAAAATGTATCAAAACTTCTGCACAGGCCATATTTTGTTTACATTTTTCTCCCAATGTATTATATTCAGCAAATAAACAGTGTTGTGCAGACTTGTGTGTTCTTTGTAGAGGAAATGTAATTGATAAAATATATTTCTTTTGTTCCCCATATTACTATTACTGAACAATATCTATAATAATGAAATTAAACTCATCTTAAATGTTTTCTTCTGTTACTATTAAACTTTGTCACTTGACTGTAAAGTACTATGAGCTGCCACTGGTAATAAAAGTTCCCTAAAAAAAGTACAATAATATATATATATATATATATATATACTAACAGTTTTGGTGAATATTTGTCTGTTTTCTCAAGCATGAAGAAAATGTATTTCTATGCATTTCATTGGAGAATCTACGGAGAGATGCACATGAGTAATATCAGATTTTTTTCATCTTAATCTTAACTTCAGTTTATTATCTCCTGCCGCTTTCCTAAATGTGATATATCTGCATACATCATGGCTGAGTCACAGTAATTTAAGTGGGCAAACATTTTTAAAACTTGGTCTACTCTGATAGCGGCTAGGAAAAGAGATTATAATGTGGAGATGAGATTACAAGAGTCATCACAAAGGTGAATCCCCGGTCTAGAATATAAATGAGAAACAAGCATCTCAAGATGCACAAACTTCTTCAAGACATACCAAAGACACTTCTGCAATATGAACTGCGCACCAGGTATGTCAATATTCCTTTACAACTCAGCACAAGATGCACATCTTAAAAACTTGTGATTACTTAAAAACAGGGTCATATATCAATTAAGGTTTAGAACTATATATAAATGCAGTTGTGTGCCAAAGTGTGGGCACCTTGGTCAAGTTGTTGATTTTCTAAGTGAAAAGTTAACACGTCCTCTACAGGGAACACAATTACTGTTTAATTGCTTAATTCAATATTTAAATCATATTTGGGGCAAAAATAACAAATTGTGGCCTGTGCAAAAGTTATAACAGTTTATATGTTTTATTTTTGACAAATAAATAGAAACTCTAGAAGCTCTAAAATTTGCATAGGAATGCCATATTTATGTCTGTTCTTTGTAGATGATGTGTTAAATTATTTCCACTTAGAAAATCAACAGAATGTGTAAATTTGGGGGTGATCAAATTTTGCGTACAGCTGTATATAAACAGTACCATGCAGCGGTTCTAGGCACCTGTGAAATTTACAGTTAAAAAGATATTTATCTGAGCAATATGCATTTCTTTGCTCAGAAAAACACTAAAATGAGAATAATATTAATAAACTAACTGATGATTTTTTCCTCGTGGCAGCCCAATATTTGTAGTAAATATGTTTTGGCTAATCAAGTGTTCTGCTGATAGACATTAACAAATCTATGTGATAGGGTAGGGATCGTCCAGGAGAAAGCTGGAAGCAAACTTTGTTTTTTAATATAGCTCACAAAATATCATCTACAAAAACTACAAAATTCAGCTTGCTTTTCTCTGTATGTGTGTTTACTTGCATTGATTCAAGTGATATATAGTGTTTTAACAAGCAACATCGCACAGATGAATCATTCTAAACACTTTGCTTAAGTGCCTAAGACATTTGCATAGTACTGTATATAGCGGATCGTTCTCAGCACTGCAGTGACTCTGACGTGGTGGTGTGTTAGTGTGTGTTGTGCTAGTGTGAGTGAATCAGACACAGCAGTGCTGCTGGAGTTTTTAAACACTCCACTCATTGTCCACTCTGTTAGACACGCCTGTCTTGCTGGTTCACCTTGTAGATGTAATAGCTCATGTGTTGTTGGATATCTGTGGGTAATTTTAGTTGGTGGACTATTCTCAGTCCAGCAGTGACACTGAGGTGTTTAAAAACTACAGCAGCACTGCTGTGTCTTGATTTACTCATAACAGCGTGCAACCCAGTACAGATGAAGTACTGGTTCTTAAACACACGGAAACGTGAATGTGCTTGGAAATGTGATCAGGGCTTGAATCATCCACCAAAAAAATAGCAGAATAATGTAAAGTGTGCCATGATTCTGTCAAATCTGTAAAATATAATCATTATTTAAAAACCATGAATGTTTAAATATCATTTTTACTATTTGCCTTATCATGTAGCATTATTCAAAAACTGTCCACCTGTGATGCATTTAAGCATATCATAACACAAGATTCTCATTTCAGGGTCCATTTACAGCACCTTTATCATGGTCCTTCTTGCCTGCGGCTTAAAGCATTATCAATCTGCAACGGTGCCGGGCAGAGACTTTAATCTGTCACTTCACTATATCGCAGAAGCAACATCTCATCTATGTGAGAATTATGTAAGTAATTCTGGGCAATGTATCATGTTTACTCTTATTGGTGGCTCACAGCAAAGCCGATATTGACGCTTTGTTAAAGGGGAATTCTAACGATTTTTAAAGACTTCCATATAATTCTGTGTGTGTAAGCAAAGTCAGTCAGAGTGGTGTAATGTGAAATACTCCATTTTACAGAAACTTATAAACTCAGAATTGTTCACAGTGGTGATGATGGAACCAGATGTCTGAAGAATTTAATGCTGTGAAAAGCTCCATCATTGAAAGTTATTACCTGGAAAAGTTACAAATACATTCTCTGCTCCATTGTTATATGATGGTTTTGTGATAAGTTTTTTAATTGTTTAAAAAAAAACTTTTTTGCCATCGATGTACATGCAGGACTATTATTTAACTACTATTTTACCATTATACACTACATATAAAAATTTAGAAGACACCTGTAGGTTCACTGGTTATTTTGCGACTATGACTATATTTGCACTGTAGACACGCCAACCCCTGGTTCCTATCAAAGATTCTCTACAATGAACCACTTCACACCAGACCAGTCTGAAGGACTTGCACCTCAGTCATTGAATTATGCAGATGTTTTTTAAAAATTAGTGTAATTCCGCTTTAACTACAACATGTGTCATTTGGTAGGTGCTTCAGATTGATTCGAAAGATCAACCAAAAAACCATAACATCTTTAAAAGAAGCAGAAATAACAGAGAGGTCTAAAACAAATTATGTCAGATTAATACAATGTTCTGGTAACACTTTAGTGTAGGGCAGTATTAATACAACACTGATAAACACTTATTCCAATAGATATTATTTCTCAGACATGTTGTATTTGCCAACTTTGATGTGCCATTGATCTCGTTGAGTCATGACACTTTTTGACTTTGCTAATATGCTAATGCTAATAATATGACATAGCCTGCCACATCAGTCTGGTTAAACCAGTGAACATTTTCTATGACTCTTAGGTAAAGTGTGTTTCAGTTTTCCATAGATCCATAGACAATTTAAGCAGTGGTGAGTTGATTATTACAGCGAGGCCTTCAATTTGGATCATAAATGTCAAAAACTGGAAAAAAACATTATATCAGTGATAATGCTAACCTCTGCTAGTATCCCTACAGGATTCTAGTAGTTCTGATGAGACTGAAGTTAGTTATTCTCTGAAGGCCTAGAAGGCCCTGAGGGTTTCCCTCTGGATTTAAGCAATGTCACCTCATCAGCCTGTGATCAGTAACTGTGATACACAGTAAGCTACAAAGTCAGGTGTTACAACATGCTTAAAAAACACAAAAACCAAACCAATGTCCGAAAAAACATCTATGTTTATCTCATCAAAGGCAACAAAAGCAGCTTTTATGATATATGATGCTTATAAGAATAAGCCATACAAACGCTTATGTATAAGCTTATGCAGGTGTCATGTCACCTTGTGAACAATGCCCTACAGTAAAGTGCACCATAAATTCTTTTAGCACAGAGCACCAGTACCGGAAAGCATGGGTTCATTTACGTTATTATTGCAAACTTACATGGACTATCTGCCCAAAAGTTTGTAGACACCCACTCATCCAACGTTTCTTCTGATATTGAATTTTGTCAATAACGCCCAGCACTACCTGAAAGGATGAAATGCACATGTCTACATAAGTTAACTGTAAAACATATTTTTGTGACTGTATTTTTCAGACACGCTCCGTCAATGGCTGTTCATCTATGACAAACATCAGTGGGACCTGGCACAATAATCATGCGTCTGCCTGTGCTTTCAAAGAATATCTCGGAGCTATTGAAGAAAAAGCGCTTACTCCCGAAATGAAGAACAACACCAGAATACTCAAAAAACAATTTGTTACCGTTTTCCTAGATAAAGACTGTGAAAATAAAGCACATCTGGATGCGAGGATGAAAAGCAGTGAGACCTATTTAATCAAATGTCTGAGTCGAAACATTCTCCAAAGCCTTATTTCATGGCTAGAGAGAAAAGCTCACCATGAGTTTCCCAACATGACTCATAATTTTTCAAAATACTCATGCTAACTTATATGTACAAGCATCAACTATTTATTCTAATTAACTTATTCTACACTGTATGATAATGTGCTCTGTTTGTGATGGAGAAATAAATAACAAGAAATAAATTATGCAACCAAATCTGCCTCATCACATCTTTGAGCAAAGATACATTTAAGAACTGCAGATCATGCATGTAGTAACCCAAGCCTCAAAATCTAGGGGTGCACAATAGGAATCGGCCAGTTACGATCCTAACCCCAGAGATGAGGACTCGAGTCAGTGACTTCTACATTTGCTGACTCACCCCTTGACTCGGACTCAAGACTTTCAATTTTGATTTCAGCGAAAGAAAGGTCATGTCCTTTCCAGCCTTTCATTACTTTGACTTTTGGTTTTGCAACTGCCTTGTGTAGTCATTACTACAGTGATGTTCTCCCAAAACTCACAGCATCATCAGGTTTGACAGCTTTAAATAACAAATAAGCGTTTAGTTATTCCTAACATTCATGCAATAAGTTCATTTGGTAGCGCAGTGGCGGTTTGTTATGAGATAATAAAGCCATAACTGATCCAGCTAAGGCAGTAAAACATGGTTTTGGGGGAATATTTGATTTAAATTTGTTGCTCTAGTGATAACAAATGAAAGCTGAAATATAAATGGCTGCACTACTTCTGCTGCGTTATAAACTGCATACTAGCACACTAACTAGTAGGCCTATGTAAAAAACAGTAGAAGAGCACTCCTGTAGTAGGTGAAGTGTGGTTTGGGAAGCAGTGTTAGATCAGCCACACCCTTATAAAGAAAAGGTATGAAACTGTCACTAGGGCAGTACCCCTCTTGTTACTGGGGTGGTATCCTCAAGGGTACATCTCAGTACCTTTAGTCAGGGAACATAATTATACCATAATCCATTGAAATTATTTTTTCTAAGTTGTATTGACTCCACACACCCGTCTTGTCTCCAGGCTTTTTATTGTATTGTTCTGTTTTAAAACTAAAAAATAAAAAGGTTATTGAAATGTACAAATATGTACTTTTCACCTGGGAAAAACTTGTTTAAGGTTCACAATTGGATCTTAAAACCACTGTTGTACTATTGGCTATTTTGCCTAATTTTTTAAATTTATTTTATAAATGCATTTACATACATTTATTTTTGTATGGCACATTTCTAGGCATAATATTTCCCCATACATTTTAAATAAATGCATTTTAAAATATATTTGGTTAATATGACAGTACATTCCGAAATGCATTTTAGTGTTTGGAATGTATGTCGGCACGGATTTCAATACATTGAAATTTGTTTCAAATATTTAAAAATACATGTCCATATATTTTTTCCATATTAAATTTTTATTAGTTTTTCTTATATCTTGCACATTGGAATGTTCTGCAGATCCAGTTTACAAATCAAGCACATCTTCTTCTCGTAGCGTCATATCTTTTTCGTGGTCAGTCTGGTCTGTTTTGTTTGGTCGTCATCCACCTGCAGGGTTGTAGTTGCAGCAGCGGTAACAAGACAGGCTTTATCGGAGCACAGTCTGATGCAGTAGGCCTATCTGAAACGAAATAAACACGGCCTACTCATACAATATTCTGAGGAAGGAAGGCACATAGTCACGTTTGTGTCTAATCCCAGTAAACAAAGAACGTCTGTGGACGTCCAAAATGTGTTTAAAAATAGTCGGTCAGTCGGGGACATGTTATGAACGTCAATAGACGTCCAAAATCCGTTTCAAAAAGTCAGTCCATTGGTGACCTGTTAATAACGTCCATAGACGTCCAAAATCAGTTTCAAAAAGTCAGTCCATTGGTGACCCGTTAATAACGTCAATAGACGTCCAAAATCCGTTTCAAAAAGTCAGTCCATTGGTGACCTGTTTTTAACGTCCATAGACGTCCAAAATCCGTTTCAAAAAGTCAGTCCATTGGTGACCCGCTAATAACGTCAATAGACGTCCAAAATCCGTTTCAAAAAGTCAGTCCATTGGTGACCTGTTAATAACGTCAATGGACGTTTCACTATAACCCAAAAATAATGATAACGATCATGATAATAACAATACCAGTACCACTGCTTCTAGCCTACTGCTACTAGTACAACTACTACTACTACTACTACTACTAATAATAATAATAATAATAATAGTAATAATAATAGTAATAGTAAGAAGAAGAAGAAACAACAAAAAGAAAGCTGTATTCCAGTCCAGAGATATTATGTTATGTTTCTTTTCTCAAAGATACCAAATGTTAAATATAGATTGGCTTACTGTTATGTTAGATGTTGATTGCTGAAGCTTGATAATATTTCACTTGTCTTTATGGTGTAAAGAACATGCCATATGACGTCACATGGAGTGTGGTTGTCATTATTTAACATGGTGCCATCAGCTTTTCTATATTTCCTGGACTTTTTTCAAATTTAAATGCAAGTGCTAAATGGTGTTTGTAATTGCATATCTCATAGCAGTATGCATTATTTAAGACACAATTCGAATTTGAATGCAAACCTATTTGCGTTTTAATTTATTGTATTGTATAATAGCTGGAAACTTTTAATATAGAAAAGCAGCGTTTTTGACCATTCATTTTCATTATCTTAATATGGTCTGACTCTGACATAAAAAAACGCCCATTTTATTGTATTTCGTCATCATGGCCCTTCAGCTCTGCCAAAATGAATATTTGCAATCCTGTTTGCAACTGCATTTCCACTGTCAGCAAGGCAGTTCTGTCATTTAAGCGCTGTGGGTTTGTTGGATGTATCAAGCGGGTTAAAGAAGCCGCGATATCCATCTGAACGGACACCGATCACTGCCCCTATGGAAGGTCCTCGTCTGAGAAAGTCCTCAGCGAGCCGCCGACAGCACACAGCGCTACTGTCCACATTGGTCCAGGTGAGTAAACGTTAGCTGGCCGTTTTAGGTGGACCTTTTGCCATATACGAGTCACTAAGCTTACAAAGATTTTTTTTAAACATTAGCTAGTATTATCGTTTGTTTTTGAATAGAGGGTACATGTTAGCCAGCTAGCTAGCTAGTTAGTATTTGATACAGCTGCTGAAGCCGTCCTGCTAAGGTCAGCTAGTGCTTAACAGTCGTGCTAACTACGGGAAACATAGCGGTCGGTTGGGCACGTCATTAACGCAGATTTAAAGATTTGTCTGTATTGGCTGAATATAGCGAATTAAAACCTTATTAACGAAGGTAGCGGTCATTTTATTTCCCTTAATTCAGTGTGATTGATGGTGAAGGTCCTGATAAAAGCTAAGATCGCTAGCTAACGCTATTGATTCATCACGACAACACGCGTTTTCTGACATTAGCTGTTTCTGTTGTTGCCCTGTATAAGTATTTGCTAATAACTTCTTAGAAACACCACATAATCATTATAGTAAAACGCTAACGTGAATAGCAGCTGTATATTGTGAATGCAGCGCTCCATATAGCGTCTACGTCGGCGTTCATCTTGGATTTTTGCACGGGCTCATTTGTAAATGTTAGCCGTTAGCTATATTGAGCTACATTAGCTATATTTATCTAAGCTTGTAGTCACATACATGAATAGCTCGAGGCTCATTTTAAAACTGCCAGGAGCATATTTTTACTTTGAAATGAACTACCACAATTAATGATTATTTTACACTATTTGAAAGTAGTTAGCTTATGCAGCTAGGTAATTTGAGTAGCTAACGCTAGCTAGCTAGCTAGCATATTTTTTAAACAGCTGCAGAAGCTACAGCTGTGTTTCTAGATGTTGGTGGAGAGTGGAAATGTGGCAGTCATTCTGATGCTTCGTTCATTAGCTTTGGCTACACACGTTGAAATCATTAGTGAGGTTTTATTAGACAATGAAATGTCCTATCAGCGATAAGTTACTGAATTAACTGTTGCTGACTGTCGTCTTTTGCAAACAAATATTTGTTTCAGAAGCTGACTGGATTTGTCTGTGTGCCACAACAACATACTGGCAGTGGTCAAATAATGTGCACAAGTTAAAAAAGTAAGTATTATCACAAACAGAATAGAACGTAATGTGTTAACAATTTATGTACCGGTTTCCTGGTTATCAGTTGCCACACTCATTTTATGACTAAGAACCTGTTTAAAGGAATGGTTTAGCAAAATATAAAATTTAAACAGTTTTATGCTTACCCCCAATGTAGTCTTTTGGCCAAGACATAATTGGTGTCCAAAGTTTGTGTCTTTAGTTTAGCAATGGAGCTGTGAAGCTAACATTTCTAACAAACACTAGAAGTCAATATTCACCTAAATCATTTCATGTCTTCATTAAGGTGGCGCAGACTTCTCAGTGTGGTGTGCAACACAATATGACATACTGTGGGCTATAAAAGTGAACAAAACGTCATCACAGAGTAAGTGCCATGGGCGACCTCTCTGTCTCAGGAGTAAGATTGCTGAGCTAGAATAGTTTTTTATGGAAATGACAGTCATAATATCTGATCCAACATCAGTCCTGTGCAGCCTTTGTGTTGCCTAAAATGGCCGTAGTGGTGAGGTTTTGTTCATTTCTATAGTTCAAAGTAAGTCTTTCTGTGTCCTACACTACACTGACAAGTCTGCTGACTCTAATGGAGACCTAGATGAGGTTTGAGAGGGTTGAGAGAAGTTTTAGGGATGTATTTATGGAAAAACAGCTGGGTTAATATTGTCTTCTAGTGTTTGAGCAATGTTACACATAACACCAATACTAAAGAAGCAGAATCATTAATTGTAGTCATTTCAGTCAAATTTGATATTGGAATTTGTAAGGCATATAAAAAAGTCAAATAATAATACTGAGCTTTAAAGCTGCATTCTGTACTATTTACTACCCAGTTTGTTCTTTGGACTGTGCTTTGTTCTTTTAACAAATAAACACTGACCAAAATAAGAGAGAGGCTTTTCATTTCCGAGCAGTCTAGTACAGAGTTTAGAAATCTCATGGGTCTTAGGAGAATATATAAAATTAGAGACAGTATATAAAATTAGAGACAAGCTCAAGCCCTTTGCATTTAAAAGAACATATCACAACATCACTACTTCGCAGTTGTTTAGAAGCCCACTGAAATAAACATTTAAAAATAACTAAAAAATAGATTTGTAATTATCAGTTGCCTCCTTATTGGCTACATTGCAGACAGGAAAATATTATGTATATTATATGGAAACATATTTCAGATTTGAAAGGTTTAAATATATGTGAATTAAAAGCTGTCAAAGGCCTTGTGGCATTGTGACTATTAATTGATAAGTAAGACTAAATAAGTAAAAAGTATGATGTTAGAATGGCTTTCACCTTCCACAGATCTGTCTGTTTTTGTCAAGAGATTTTAATGCTTTGTGTGTACATTAATTGTAACAGTCTTGTTTGTGTTTTATGTTAGCTGCAGTTCTGAAGTGGAACAACAAAGCCACAGCTCATGAGATGGATTCTGCTGTGGCCGATCACCTCAAGCATGCCCCCTGCAGAGCTTTTAACTTTTTTTTTCTTTTCTTGTTTGACTTCTCAGAAACTAAAATGCAAGATTTTGTCTTGTTAAATAATCACCTTGATCTCCTTTACATTAAAACATTGAAAATCATGTACAATACTGACACAGCTTATGGTTCAAAGGTTTGAAAATTCTTTCTGAATTGATGCATAGGATCTTTGTCTTAGTCCTAACGAAGTTCATGGTCCAGTTTCATGTTCCACAAATGAAATTAATAATAACTACACGTTTTCAATAAAGTTTCCATTTAACAAAGTTTGTTTTATGTTTACATTGGAATCAAAATTGTTAGTTAACTACAGGAAGTTTTTTTATATTATATTTTTTGATAATGCGTTGTATATGGTTCTATATAGAAAAATTCATTCTATATAGCACCAAAAAAGGTTGTTCTATTGTACAGTGTATTAAGCATGAAATGGTTCTATATAGGATTCATGCTAAAGTGTTATCTTTTTTTGAGAGTGTACTAGTGGAAATTAATTTTGGATGACTTTTCAATGCCTTTTAATTTATCATTTATAATTTTTTCCAAGGCCTTAGAACACCTTAAAATGACATTTTTACTGTGACTTTTTGGTCGTCTTTTCAACAGTTAAGCTTGAACGTCTTTTCAACTTTCATTTTCAACCATAAGAAAACTTAAATTAAACAGCAGTTATGCACGTGATTTCAACGTTAAATCAGCGGCCTTTAAATGACGTCTTTAATGTGACTATTTTGGCCGTTATTTCAACGGCTAAGTTTAGACGTCTTTTCAACTTTCATTTTCAACCATAAGAAAACGTAAATTAAACAGCAGTTATGTACGTGATTTCAACGTTAAATCAACGGCCTTAAAATGACGTCTTTAATGTGACTATTTTGGCCGTTTTTTCAACGGCCAAGTTTAGACGTCTTTTCAACTTTAATTTTGAACCTTAATAAAGCGTAGTTTAAACGGCAGTCAGATGCGTGATTTCAACGTTGTTTCAACGGCCAAATGTTTACTGGGATGTTTGTATAAAATGCTGCCTAGGTATCTTTTTTGAAGGCAGTGTAGATGTATCCTTCACTGCCTCACATATCTCATATTCTTCTGTGTCTGCCCCATTATGGTTAGAAAAATAGAGCATAAAACACCAGCACCGACACAGCGACCATTTTTGTGTTTCTAAAAAGAGATGACAGGGCTTGTGGGTGGAGCTTAACTGGTGGCAGAAAGTGAGCATAGCTGTGTCAAGTGTAGGAATATAGGAATATGGATCATCCGGAGGCCTTCTCCAGTTATTTTAATGGTTTGCCAGCAGAAGACAGGTTGTCGTGCACTAATAAGCTAACCCTAATTAGCAATGGGGTGAGAATTCCTGACTCGTAATCACAGTTAGGTTGATGGGTCAAGTATCCAACTACATGGCCAAGTTACAGAGGCCGGACATGGTTGTCTACCTTGTGGAAAAACCTGGGCATAAAAATCTCTTGTGGCAAACAATTTTATACTTTGCGGTCATGTCCAGGACCTTGAATACTGAGATTTGTCGGATGCTTTTTGTGTATGTAAATTATCACCACAATGACAGCACTTTTACTTAAATAGGGATTTTCAGTACTCTTTCTACCGTGACAACCAACCATTTCATGTTGTTTTACGTCTTTCCTCTAAATAAAGCATTGACTGAAGGTTTTTCTATAATACAAGATTCGTTATTTGAAGCCATTTAGAACCTGAAAGGTTTTCAGTAGGGTTTTGCATATAATAATGAGACTAAACTAAAATTCTTTACTAAAGACTCGAGACTTGATCCGAACTTGCATGAAATCTGTAATCTTTAATCAAGTGTAGTGACTTTTGCTCGGCTCTAAATGCTGTCTAACGTTTGGTTGCATGTTCCAGCAGCCATGAAAAAATACACTAACCAATAATGTCTTTGCATGTTTTCCCTCCCTTCCCTCCAGCCTGACCTATCATCGAGCTAAAGCACCAGTCATCACCTCTGCTCCCAGCTGCACAAATCAGAGTGGCCTCCAAGTAAAAACGACCAAATAAAGTCAATAAAGTCGATTGTTTTCGTCGGCTAAGACGACTCATCACGTTCAATGGTTAAGCGACATCTTGTGGTCACAAAAAATTACAACAGCGTTTTATAACAGCTCTCACAAGTACCAGTGGTGCACGATTGCGGCTTTTCTGGACTCGACTCCGACTCTCGACTCCGACTCTCGACTCCTGCTTCTCCACTTTATTTTAACAAAAGCAGCGCCGAGCCGGTGATAAAGGGACATACCACAGATTAAACCATCCTAAATGTATTTACCCATTTTTGAGTAGCTACAGACTTCTTTTGCGCAATGTTCTGTGAAAAACATTTTTTGTTTTCGTTTCGTTTCTAATCGTTTATTGCGACCCTCATCATGAATAAAGAGCTGCGGTGCATGACGTATCGAAAACGGTTTTGTGAGCAGTTTGTGCTACAGCGGCTAGCGAGCAGCGTTAGAATTGTTTAAAGTTGGCAATTAAACAAATTCTTACTACACAAACTACCCTTTTCTCTATTATGTCCCTCAAGCCAATTTCGATGAAAATCACCGAGTCGAAGAGTCGACTCCAGGCATTTCGACTCTTAGAGTCACTTGCCGACTCCCAGACGTGTTAGAGCCGAAGAATCGATTCTTTTGGAATCGACTCCTCATCACCAGTACCAGCTAAGTGAGTCATCTCACAGAAAATTTGCTCACATACAACTTAATTGTAGCACCTGCTCCACGCTGCAGATAAAAGTTCTGTTATATGAATATGATGCATATCAGTGCATAAGACTTTGACTGCGCTGCTCTTTTAGCACGTCGTGCAGCTACGTCGAGCACGTCACGTGGTTATTAATGTGTGTATTAATGTTTCAGGAGTATGTTTTTGCTATGGATCAGTAGAGATTTCAGAATTTATCTGCATGTTTCCATTTCCATTTCTATAAATATCAAAAGACATGACGGCATAAGATAAATGTGAAAACTTATAAGATACACATTTTAAAGGTAAGGACAATATAAAAAAAAATCCAGTATATATCAACGTTGGTTTTCAGCCTTGTCCCTTGCATATAGATATTTCTCAGGATTCTCTGAATCATTACATGCATGTACATGCACACAATAGTCCAGTCTTAATTAGATTTCTGCAGTTATCTAATTTTTCAAATGGTAATGTAAACAGCATACTCCGATTTCTAAGACTGAAGTAAAGTCTAAAAATCCTATTTAGAAAGCCAATAAAGAGAGCCGGATTTTAGCTCAGTAATGAGATTTCTCAGTGCATGTAAACTCTTACTCAGATTTCTTTCAGATTTCTCAATCTGCATATGTGCGAAACCAACTGCACTACCAGAAAAAAGCAAGCAGCATTTAACACAGCATCCATGAGACAACAACAAAACCCTTTCAGAGCGACGCTGAAACCAACTACATACTTGTTGAAATAAAGATTTAAATATTCTTCATCTTCTAGATGATGTATGTCATATTTTCAAGGAAGGCGGATTGATGTTTTAAAAAGCTGCAGCATGAAGTTTGAGTTTTACGTTACATCTCGTCTTCTTTTGTCAGTTTATTTGCTGGTTGTAAAGCAGAAATCTGATTATTGCCTGACTCCTGTAGACCTGGAGTTTTCCATTATCTGATTACTCGAGTGCATGTAAACGCATTAAACGAATTACCAACAAAATCTGTTTTTCTTCAGTTTTCAGATTAAGTGCATATAAACACACTCTTAAGTATATCAAGTACTGTAGATGATGAAATCCCCAAATTCTTTGCTATTTTACATTGAGAAACATTGTTCTTGAATTGTTGGTTAACTGGATG